GTTGAGCGGCTGGGTGGTATTTATTCCCTATGATGAGACTGGCAATCAACTCCATGGTGGAATCTACCACAAGCAGCTGAGTAGCTGCTTTAGGGATGTAGTCTGCTTCCTGTACATAAGAAGCAGCTTTGGAAACGGTCTCTAGCTTATGGCATGCTTGAACCCTGCATGTAGCTGTGTCATTGTTCAGCAACTGGCCATGCTCTGCTGACCTTGGGACTTTTCAAAGGACTTGAATTAATGGCCTGCCATGTGGTTTGGTAACATCAGGACTGTGCCTTTTTACTTGTCAACCTTGGGCTTGTCAGTCTCCGCAAGCAACAGCTGTCTGAGTGAAGAAAAGCCTTGAGCTTCAGTGAGCTGGGACTAGGGGGAAGAGCTGAAGCCCCAAGTTTGAGGGGCTTTCACCCAGCCCCTAGAGCCTGGCACTTTGAACTCGGACCTAAAGCCTCCATACTGTAAGAGAATAAACTCCTGTTTGTACAAGCCATCCCATTTGTGGTATATTCCTGTCAGAGTGGCATGAGGTAACCAGAACAATGTGGTTTAGAGAGTGAATGCCTTATTTGTAGGGTCAAGAGTACCTGACATATGGAGATAGACTTTATGCTGTACCTGTCAGTTGACAAAGGAAGGCCTTGCAACTGCTCAGTGTCCAAAGATAAGGTTGTGTTCTGTTCCTATACCAACCGGAACTAGCACCTGCTGCTTGTTTGTCCTTGTTCAATGTGTTGTGACCTCTACATGGGGCCTCTGGTCTCCCTGCAGGGCCCTGCAGGATGCGGACTAGGTGGGGTTCAGTTGGAGGCAAGGTGTACTTCCTCACATGGGATAGTAAGAGCCACAGGACAGTATTGTTGCTTAGTGTGCAGGTTATCTAGTGTCGCTCTGACAAGAATATACCACAAATGGGATGGCCTTAAGAAACAGGAGTTTATTCTTACAACTTGGAGGCTTTAAGTCCAAGTTCAAAGTGCCAGGCTCTCGGAGCTGGGTGAAAGGCCCTCAACCTTGGGGTCCAGCTCCGCCTCCTGCTCCCGGCCCACTGGAGCTAGAGGCATTTCTTCACTCAGACAGCTGCTAGCTGCTTGAGGCTGAGAAGCCCCAAGGTTGACAAGTAAAAAGGCACAGTCCCGATGTTATCAAACCACACAGCAGGCCATTAATTCAAGTCCATTGTAAGTCCCAAGGTCGGCAGAGCATGGCAGGCTGCTGAACAACAACAGCACAGCTACATGCAGGGTTCAAGCATGCCATATGCTAGAGACCATTCTCCAAGGCTTCTGCTTATATACAGGAAGCAGACCACATTCCCTAAGGCAGCTACTCAGCTACTCACAGTAGATTCCACCATGGAGTTGATTATCAGTCTCATCATGGAGAATACTACATCCAGCTGCCCAGCCACTCAACCAGGCCCAGGCAAGTTGACACACAAATTGAACTACCACACTTAGGATTCAGATTCTTCCAAAGATTGACCAAAACCACAGTCAATTGCTTGTCTATCTTTTCTACTACTGTCCCAGCAGCCACTAAGTCAACCCACATCTGGCTTTGAATTACTTTCAAAGGGTCCTTGGACATTTGTCTTACAGGGTGTTCAGCCTTTTCTATTTCTCTCTTCCTCTTTAGCCCTCTCAGTTTTGCCTAGGTTGGCTATGGCTTGACCCACCTGGTAGACTGTCTGGACCACTAAGGAATTTGTGGTCACAAGCATGCCACACCAGGAGGGTGGAGCCACCTGTAAGATCTTTGCCTTCATTCCTGCAGTAAATAATTAATTATCTGGCACCCTGAAGTGTTCAGCATAAATGGCATGATGCAGATATAGTTCCTGAATTAGTTGCTCGAGTTTCTCTACGGAAGACAACTTCCTAAGTGTGTCAAGAAGTTTCCCCTCATTTGGCCATGCTTTCCTGTGACACAAGATGATCCAGTCCCTGAGGGGTTGGTGCCCTCTGTTCTGAGCTGTGTGTAGGTGCTACTGGAGGATGAGCATTTTCTCTGCTGCAGCTCCATTTAAAGAGAAATCATCACCCTTGCTATCACACAGGGGTAACAGCCAAGCTGCAATGGACTCCTTTCCTTTCTGCTGGAATTTCCCACACAGCTCTATCAAGTCAGTAGGGGTGTATTCCTGCATTGTCATGGAACTGGCAGGTGGAATTTCCTCTCTCTAGTCATCAGGGAGCTCTAGTGACATAGTGCCTAAGGCATTTGACTGCTAACCAGAAGGCTGGTGGTTCAAACCCACCTGCAACTCCTTGGAAGGAAAGTTGAGCAATCTACTTCTGGAAACCCAAGGAGGGGTCACTATGAGTTGGATCCAACTTGACAGTAGTGAGCTTGGTTTTTGGTTTAGTCATCAGGCTCAGCTCCTGGATAACTTTCATTTTATGGGTAATTAGTGGCTGTACCTGGAGGAGTTGCTCTGCAAACCAGGCTCTTTTACAAGCACCTGAACATCCCAGTCACCTTTGGACTCCATCTCCCAAGGATTCTACTTTTTCACATCCCAGTCAACTATCATCACTGTCCTGACCTTGGCCTTTGGTACTTTCTTCCCCCCTATTTTTGCAAACCTGCGCTGCTCACCCTGCTTTCTGAGGTGACTATTCAGAATGTCAGATGTGACCACACATGACTGCCACACATCCTTTTCCAACTGTAGTTCCTTCTACAATATTCTTACACATGCTCCGGCAGCTAACTGGGTGTCGGTGGTCAGCCAAACAGCTGAGAACACTAGACACCCAACAGCCACCGTTGCTTTCTTAGCCTCCTTTCCACACAGCAGGGAGTGCATTTTTCCAAAACCATGCCATGCTCCTTGGCATTTTGGGGACACTTCTGAACTCACATAGGGATACAGCTGCATCATCTATCAACAAGCTAAACCTCCCACATGGAGGTTCCTGGCCAACTCAGGATCTCCCTCATTGAGGCCTCACTCCAAATCACCATTTCCTCAGTCTCCTGGCTGGCTCACCAATTGTCCCTGCCTGGTCCAGTAACTCAAAATTTGCCTCCAAATATGGAGGCTTCTGAGAGACTGAAGTCTGCTTCTTTAGCAGGTAATTCCAGGGTGGTGGCAAAGGAGTTTATTAAGGGAGAATTACATATAAGGGAGGTTCTGGGTGGCAGCAGGATCTAAGCAATTATCCGCCACCTCCAGTGGGAACCAGGGGCTTTATTGGCTATGGTGAATAATAGTGGCTACATCCCAGGACTTCAGAATTACAAGGCCAGCCCAGCAGGAGTTACATAGAGTGATTTAGCAAGTGGAAGTAAGCTAGTGGAAAACAAAGGGTTACTATGTTTGGCCTCAAAGCCTGTTTCCCCTTCAGGAGTCAATCATTAATGAGATTCAATTTGATTGTGATAGGTTAACAAGACAAGTTACTCAAGAAAGAAGCTGAAGAATGATGTGGGGGATAAGGGTGAGAACTGATATGGAAAATAATTGGAAAAACTATTGAAAAGGCCAGGTTAAATTACATTAGTAAAGAAGAGAGGGTTTAGTGAGGAAGGTTTATTACCAAAGCACTTGTCCCCATGTGCCCTTTATGATGGGACAACTGGATATTCGACTCCAAGCTCCTTTGTCTTTTCACTTTCATATAACCAAGGAGGTATTTCTCTAGGTCTTCTCTCTGGTCCCCCAGGACCCTGTGCTCTCTGGGTGACCCAGTCCCCTAAGATTTGGATCCATAATCTCCTTGCCCTACTTTTTCAATGCTAGTAATGGCAGACTGACTATTGTCACCATCTGGTTGTACTGGGACAAAGTGTCCCCTGGCAAAGAAGTGAGGAATGGAACTCCAGAGTGTCAGGGCCACCTGACCTCCCCTTGGCTCTGTCCACTTCCTCTGTGACCACCAGGCTGAGCTGCACATCTAGGACACCTGAGCCCATGATGCTGGAGTCTACCTGTGCAAGATGGAGCTGCTGAGCCTGGGCTTCAGCACAGGGAGTGGTGTTTGGCTGGTGGTGGAGAAAGGTGAGGCTCTGGGAGACAGCCCTTTTTGGTTGGAGGCCCTACTTGGCAATATCTTTTAGGAAAAAAGTCCTTCCCTGAGCCTCCTGCCCCTGCCATTCCCTGAGCCCCCTTTACCACCCCATATTCAGGTTCCTCTCAGCTAGAGGTCAGCACCATCCTCTTCTTTTGGGCTTCATTGTATGCCTTCAGCTTTCTCTCAGTGGCCATGGGCAGTACCATCTATTACCAGGGCAAATGTGAGTAATGGTGCCAGGCATAGAGGCAGAGAAGGGAGGGATAGTAAGAGGGCAGGGGAGGGAGAGACGGAGGTTAAAAAAGGCAAGGGGCTGCGGTACTGAGCTGTTCTTCTTGTCTTTCCCGCCAGGCCCTTGTCACATAGGAACACCCTGCCATACCTTAGATGATCTCTTAGGAGTGATTCTTGACCAGTGATCCCAAGCCCTACCCACCTCTGATTTCCTTTTATCAATCGCATGTATTTTCTTCTTTGTTCTCCAGGGGTTCCAATATACCCTCTCCTCTCTAGGGTCCTCAGGCTCCTATCTGTCCCCTCCACCAAGTCCAGACCTGAAAGGCCCTAAATCAAGCCCAGAGCCCCCTCCCACCAAGATCCTGAGGCTCAACACCCCTACCTTTTCCAGGTCCAGGGGGCTGAGGCAGATTCTCCTGAGGTTCTATTGAGGTGTGGAGACTATGACATCTGTTATTCCTACTTGTCAACAACCTCATTCTAGCCAAGTCCACAGGAAAAACTCTTTCTTGGCTTTCAGGGGAGCTCAGGTTCTCCTTGATCCAATAAATCACCACTTGACCCAGGAGAAGTTGGGATGATGGTGTTGGTAAGTTGGTTAAGTTTTGACTATGGTCATTTCGAATGGGGGCTTGAGATGGACAGAGAAGCCCAAGACACAGACGGTGGGAAGACCATGGTCTTTACTGGGTGAACCACAGGATGACACTACCACCCACTGGGGTTGAGGGAGGCATCTGGGGGTGCTCAGGTGGGTTTTTTCTTGGCTATAGAGGCATAGTCAGCTCTGGGGTCCTCCTTGGCATCCTCCTCATCTCCCTCGCTGAGCTCGGGCCTCTCAGCACCTCCTGGTGCCGGCAGTCTCTGCAGAGATGCATAGTGGAGCTCCTGCTCCAAGGGCTGGGCCTGGGGTAGTCACAGAGGGGGTTGGCTGTGAGCACAGGGAGGGGCCTCCCTCTCTTCCTTCCTTATGGGTATCTGCCCTTGTCTCCCACCTTTCTTATCTCAAGCTTCCTTCTCAGTCTCCCCTGCTCTGTACTCTTCTTCCTCTCTTTTCTCTCTTCCTCCCCTTGTCTCTGCCAGCTTAAGCTCTGGCTCTTTCCGTGCCTTGCCCTTTCTCTTTGAGTCTCTCACATTCTCTCTCACTTTTCTCTACTTTTCCTCTAAGTTTCCCTCTTGTTTGTCTCTCTGCGCCTCACTTTTTCATCTCCTTTCTGTCTTCTTTTCTCTTCTTATTGCTACACCATTTCTTTCCTCTCTTCTTCTCTGTGGTAGTTAAAGTTGTATGTCAACTTGGCTAGGTCTGGGTGAGTGGCTGGGCAGCTGGATGTAGTATTCCCCATGATGAGACTGGTAATCAACTCCATGGTGGAATCTACTATGAGCAGCTGAGCTGCTGCCTTTGGTTATGTGGTCTGCTTCCCAAATATAAGTAGCAGCTTTGGGAACGGTCTCTAGCTTATGACACGCTTGGACCCTGCATGTAGCCGTGTCATTGTTCAGCAGCCTGCCATGGTCTGCTGACCCTGGGACTTAAATTATTTGAATTAATGGCCTGCTGTGTGTTTTGGTAACACTGGGACTGTGCCTTTTTACTTGTCAGCCTTGGGTTTGGCAGCCTCAGCAGCCAGCAGGTGCCTGAATTAAGAAAAGCCTCTAGCTCGAGTGGGCCAGGAGTAGGAGACAGAGCTGGATCCCAAGGTTGAGGGCCTTTCACCCAGCCCCTAGAGCCTGGCACTTTGAACTTCGACTTAAAGTCTCCGAACTGTGAGAGAATAAACTCCTGTTTGTTAAGGCCATCCCATTTGTCATGACTCAGAGTGGCACTAGGTAACCACAACATTCTCCTCTTATTTCTCTCTCAGTTTCCAAGTCTCCAACTTTCCTTTTCTTTTTCTCACCTGTCCTCTTTGCCCTGAGCCCTCTCTTGTCTTCCCATCATCCACTTTGGCCATCTCTTGCCCTTCCCTCTTCCCTGCCCACAGACTCACCCAGCTCCTCTCCAGCCTCTTTACTGGAAGGAAAAGAAGAAGGTCAGAATGGCTCTCCCATTGTGTGTTACCCAACCATCCCCTCTGAGGGGTGTGGATCCCGGGAGCCAAGTTCTCATCCCAGCAACAGGGAGACCATTGTCAGGTGGGTGTTTCCTTACACGGCTTCACTAGGGTTATTGTGGGTGAAGCCCTTGGCTCTCTCCTTAGGCACTATTCCTTCACCTCTCCCACTGGACTCCCCCCATCCTCCTCACCAAGAGCCTTTCTGGATCAGTGGAGACTTCTGGGAAAGCAGTAAAAAAGGACATGGGAGGGGACATTGCTATGGGGTGAATGGGGGAGGTGAGGGTGGGACTCACCTCTCCGATGGAGCCAACACAGACAGGTGGACAGAATGATCATGACCAGGAGCAGGAGCACTCCCAGTGCCAGTCCCCCATATAGGTAAAAGCATGGGTATGGGTCTGTGGGGAATATGGGCAAGTATTTGAGGGCCTGTTTCTCGCTCTGTCTTACTTGTCCTCCTGGCTGATCATGGATATCCTAGGTCTCTCCAAGAGTTTCAGAAGGAGAATCTCTCTCAGGGATTCTTTACTCCAGATCACTTGATCTTATTTCCTACCAGAAGTCCCATCCCTCATCAGTTACTCCATCTCATATCCGAGACCGCCCACGCTCAGAGACAACCACTGCAGTCCCTGCTGCCTCTGGGCCGTCACTCTGAAGTCCCTTTGCCTCCACACCAGCTGGTCCTTAGAGGCCCTGACCACCTATGTGTGAACTGACTCACTCCTTTCCACTCATTGCTCTCTGTGACCCAAAAACTTCCCCATCCAGAAGGAAAGGGTTCCTTACCATTACAACAATGGGCCATGACATCACAGGCTTTCTCTAGGCCTTGGACTGAGGACTGGACTCGAGGTCAGGAAACCAAGCCCCTGCTCTTCCAGGTTAATGGCCTTGAGTGAGTCACATGCATCAAGTTCCTCATCTGTAAAGTGAGGGGCCCTCTGTTACAATTATTTCACAAGCTGAGATGCCTCACTTATGTGCCAGCCCTGAACCAGTCACTTTTTATCTGTCACGGCTACTCTATACAATATGGTAGGAGCTTATGTGTCCCTTTCCCAGGTGAGGAACCTGAGGCTCAAGCCACTGACTTTTACAAGAACCCCCTAGGCCAGAAGTGGCAGAATTGGGTTCCAGGTCAGCTCCGTCCAGCTCCAGAGCCCACTCTCTTCCCTCTGCCCTAGGCTGACCAGATGGTTGCTAGGAGCCTTTCCTGCTGGATAATTTTGGGCTCTGGTGAGGGAACTGACACAGGAAAACCAACGAGGGTCTGGAGTGGGTGTGAGAACTGGTAGAATAATAGGGAGGCTTGTGCCCCAGAGTTGGGGCAGCTCCCTCAGCCCCAGGACAATTCACAGGAGGCCCTATTTGACTGGTGAGGAAAACTGCTCCTCACAGGCAGATAGGACTTGGGCTGATGTGGGGCATAAGGGAGTGTCTAGGGCCCCATAACTTCCCCTCAGGCACTTCCTGTCCTCCAACCACTGGTTCCTGTTTGAGAGCAAAGAAGTGGCTGTTGACTTCACCCCAGAACCAGATGTACCCACCACAGTCTGGAAACTGAGACCCTCCAGGATCCACGAGGAATGTTGGTGTGATTGTGTGTATGTGGGTGGAACAAAAGCTCAGCTGACAAGGCGAGCCTGAGCAGTGCAGTGGGGACAGTGGTACATTGTTTTAAATTTCTTTGAAGAGCAGAGACCCACAGGCTGGAGAGGATTCCTTCCTCTAGTGCTCAGGGCCCCTCAAACCCATTCCCCACCCCACCCCATCTTAGCTCACCTTATTCTGGGATGCGAGGGTCCTTCCTCCCACAGTTATCTGCCCCCCACCTCCAGGGTCCCTGGGCACTCCCAGCTTACCCAGAGCCTGTGGACTGCAGGGTGGACAGTCTCAGACTGACCTAAGTTTCTTGGGTGGAGAGAAGTGTAGCCACCTCAGACATTCCTGCCCCTCCTCTGGCTTTAACTTCCCCCCTTTTATGGGTGGCTCCCCAGCATTGCTGGGAGAGGAAGTTAGGCCTTGAGAGTTAGGATTGCAGCATTTTTCCTTTCAGACTTCTGGGACTGTAACTAGGCCTTTAATGCTCCTCTGCTCTAACCACCCTACTGATCCTGCTAGTTGGTGAATGGCCACCTCCAGGCAGCCTTCCCCAATTAACTTTTCCCTGTTACCCTGTTAAAATGAAATCAATATTAAGTCAATAATTTAATTAATTCTAAGTATATTATTTATTAATGATTAAATTATTTTTAGTAATTGAACTATTAACTAGTTTATTTAATATACAATTTGCAATTGAGGTAATGTTTCTGACTACCAAAAACCAAATCCACCGCCTTCGAGTTGATTTTGACTCATAAGGACCCCATTGGGTTTCTAAGGCACTAAATCTTTATGGAAGTAGATTGCCCCGTCTTCTCTCAGCGAAGCAGCTGATGGGTTTGAACCGCCAACCTTCTGATTAGCAGTCAGATGCCTTAGGCACTGTCCCACCAGAACTGCTTGATATTTCTGACTAGAGAGTCAAAGATGTTTCAGAGAAGAAAGATCTTTTACAAATTTTTATACCACAACATATTGCTAGTTGTTGTTGTTGTTATGTGCTGTCAAGTCGGACACGACTCATAGCAACCCCTCCTTGGGTTTCCGAGGCAGTATCACTACGGAAGTAGATTGCCCCATCTTCCTTCCTACCCTGCTAGTAATTCTACAAAATAACTTGCAGACATTCAGGATTCCATATAACATTTTCTTGAAGAACAATTCAAATAATTACTGGTTGATCTCAAAACATAGCTGCTAGTCTGATTTTTTAAAACTGCTGTTGTCAAACTAAGCACACGTATATGCTGAGGACAGAACAAAGTGTGGGCAGTGGTGCCAGGCCCCCTGGACAGAGAGAAGTGGGAGAAGGCCTGTTAGTGGTCCTAGCTATGATGGGGAGAAAGAAGAGTGGTAGAGGATTGCACTCCTGGGCCTTGAGGAGAGTGAAGAATGGGGAGCTCATGGGAAGAGGATGAGATCTGGTACCTGGATCCCTATGAATTTGTATTTCCTTTTCCAAATTTAGAACTTTCTGTTACTTCTGCACCCCTGCCCTTAATGTGCCTCTTGCAAGACAAGAGAACACTACTCAAGGTCTTTGTTTTTTAAAAACATTTATTATTAAAAAATTCAAAGATAAAGAAAATTATGCAGTGAACCTCTCTCTACTATGTAAATTCTACAGTTAACATTTTGCTGTATTTATTACATATCTATTAACCCATCTCATTTTTTGATGCCTTTCAAAGTTGCCAACATCAGTACATTTCACCTTTAAACCTTCAGTTTATCATTGACTCAAATCAAGACCAAGCTCACTACCCTCAAGTTGATTCTGACTCATAGCATCCCCCATTGGGTTTCCAAGGCTGTAAATCTTTACAGAAGCAGACGGCCTCATCCTTCTGCAGAGTGGCTGGTGGGTTTGAATCATCAATCTTTAGTTAGCAGTCAAATGCCTTAACCGCTATAGCACGAGAACACTTTATCATTGAGAAAAATAAATAAATAAATAAATAAATAAATAAACAAATAAAACCCACTGCCATTGAGTTGATTCTGATTCATAATTGAGTTTCCAAGGCAGTAAATCTTTAAATCTTTACAGAAGTAGATTGCCCCATCTTCCTTCCGAGGAGTGGACAGTGGATTTGAACTGCCAGCCTTCTGGTTAGCAGTCAAATGCCTTAAGCACTGAACCATCAGATCTCCTTTATCATTGGTTAAAGTTCAGTATTTATTTCTCCTTTTTTTTTTTTGTGGGGCTTAAGGAAAATAAAATTTACATGGAGGGTAGTACACATTTTTAAAACTGCCTTGTGGTTAAGGCTGGCCCCAGTCTGCCTGGGTTCAAATTCTGGCTCTGCCGCTTACTGTGTGAACTTCCACGAGTTCTTTAGCCTCTCTGTTCTCCAGTTTCTTGTCAAGATTAGAAGAAAGTGTAAATCAGTGGCAGGCACATGCTAAGTGCTATTCATATATTATTATTATCTCTATAATATTATCTTGAACACATAGAGATGTCATCAAGTGGAAATGATCTGAGACCACCTCTAACTTCCATGGACCTGGTCTTTTCTTCTTTCAACTCCTACCACACTGCCTACCTGTACCACTCATTTGGTCTTTGCTGCCTTGTTTTGCTCATTCATTTGTCCTTTCATTCATTCATAAACATTTAATAAGTACCTATAAATGGATGAGGCTCATCTTAGGTTTCGAAGCTCTTTGAGGGTGGGAGCATGCCTCCTCTCTCACCCATCTGCACTCAGAACAAGGGAGGTAGCACTCCTTTTCTATCCCTCCCTAATCAAATAGTAGTAGTCAGTGAGGCTGACTCCCTTCAGCAGTCATCACTTTGGATGGTTCAACTCTGTCTTTCCCATCATCAAGAAAGGGCTAGTGTGAGCAAGGCAAGGGAAGGGAGAGGTCAGTGTGGGGATATGTTCTCCGAGGCCCGGACATCCAGCTCTCAAAACCTTAGTTCTTGTCCTCCTACTCCAGCCCTTGACCTCGGAGACTTGGAGGCAGCCTTCCCTCCAACACCCACCTGGGGGGTAAAGAATTCAGACTGTTCTGGAAACCTGGAGTCCTTGTTCTCAATGCACCCTTGCGACCTCACTTTCTGCAAGCTACTTTCCTTCCCTAGGCCTTGGTTTCCCTCCTTGATGAGCCAGAAGATCTCAAAGGCCCCCTCCAGCTAGACCCTGAAAGCCTGTCTCCACCCCAACACCTTCCCCAGTTCAGAGAACCCAGGCATCCAGCTGTCCTACCCCAGCTCTGGGTAAACAGGAAGCTGGGTGAGGGGAGCAGGGGTGTGTGGAAAGTCCCAGCCAGGTGTGTGGGTCCATGGGGAGGGGGTAGCCCCACCCCTGGGGTATGAAAGTCCCCCCTGCCCTGGCATTGGCTCAGTCTCCATGGAGGCACTAGGGCTAGAGAGCCGGGGTGAGAGGCCCCAGAGAAGGGGCTGCCTCCTGCTGGCCATGGTTGGAGCCATTGTACTGGGGTCTGTGGTGCTATCTGTGCCTATCACTGTCCTGACTGTGCTGGCCTTGGTGCCCCAGGAGCAGGGAGGACTGGTGAGTGGCTGCAATAGGAGAGTTGTATCCTACCATGCTCACTCACCTCCTTATGCTTTGGGGACTTCTTGCTCATCCTGCCCAGCTGTCTCCTCTGTCCCTGGTGCTAAAGCCTTGCCTGTCTCTTTGCTGCTCTCTTTCCATGCTCCCGTGATGCTGTTGTGTCCTGATGTCTGCAAGCTCCTTCCTGGTTATCTGTCTGCCTCTCATCTTCTTTCCCAAGACACAACTCAGGCTCAAAGACATGCCTTGCTTGCTCTCCCTGCCAGGGAGATGTGTTGCGTGTGGAACTGGTGGAAGAAACCCCAGGCTTGCAGCTTGGGTCCATGTTGGGAGGGGTGGGGTTGACATCAGCTGAGTCTGAACTCTGAGCACTGTGACCCCACCCACCCAGGTAACAGAGACTGCTGATCTGAGGAGACAGACCCAGCAACAACTGGGTAAGAGCAGACCATCTTCCCCTCCCCCTCCCATCCCACAGGGACCCCCAGGTCTTGCCTTTGTCCCAATATCCTCTTCCTCCAAGAATTTGGGTGCTCCATCCCCGAGCCCCAGTGTCCTGCCTCTCAGGGTGACCATGCATGGATGGCCCACCTGATACCCAATCAGGAACTCTTCACCCCTTCCAGAGTCCCAGAAGCTGCATGAAGAGACAGCAGACACTGATTTCAGCCCGAGGCTCCCGGCTGCCCACCTCATAGGTAAGGATTTCATAGACCTGGATAAACGTTTACATAGCCGGAGAGAATCAAACAAGCATCCAGTCACTGTTCCGAGGGTACCAGATCTACTTGCCCGCAGTTAAGAGTCCCTTTGCCCTATTATTCCAGTGCTCGGTTCCCCAAAGCGCTCCACTACCTCTCGCCCCTGAAATGCCCAGTGTACTGGTCTCTCTACTCTTAACTTCTGGCATCCTTCCGGGAGCAAGCAAAACCCGGCCTGGATTACCTCAGTACAACACTCCACATCCAGATTCCTTCAGTCCCCAACGCATATTCATTCCAGAGGTAGTACCATATCCCCCACTCCTCCTCCCCGAGCTCGATTCTTGCAGAAAGCTAAATGCCCCCCACCCACGTCCAAGTCCACTCTCCCAGGAGACCCGGGTCTGGAAGGCTTCTCTCACGATCGGATTCTCAGAGAGCCGACGGGCCCTTTTCTCCGCAGGTTCCTGGAAGACCGGGCAGGGGCTAGGCTGGGAGACCAAGAAAGAAGAGGCGTTTCTGACGAGCGGGACGCAGTTTTTGGGCACCGAGGGGTTGGCTCTCCCGCAGGACGGCCTCTATTACCTCTACTGTTATGTCGGCTATCGGGGCCGGGCGCCCCCTGCTGGCCGGGGCCCTCTTGGCCGCTCCATCACGCTGCGCAGCTCTCTGTACCGGGCTGGGGGCGCCTACGGGCCGGGGATTCCCCAGTTGCTGCTGGAGGGCGCGGAGACTGTGACATCGGTTTTGGACCCGACCGCGACGCACGAGTATGGGCCCCTTTGGTTCACCAGCGTGGGGTTCGGTGGCCTAGTGCAGCTTCGGAGGGGCGAGAGAGTGTACATCAACATCAGTCACCCCGATATGGTAGACTACAGGAGAGGGAAGACCTTCTTTGGGGCTGTGATGGTGGGTTGAGGGCCGCCCGCGTCCCTGGAAACACGACTGGATGGTACGACTGTGTGAACTGGCCGGGATATTGGAGACCGGAACACCCATGTCAATGGGTAGAACGAGGAGACTGGAAACTGATCTTGAGCCTGATGGAAAATAAAGTGTGTAAAGCTTTAGTCCTGCCAGTATAGATGCTGAAATGCTAACATGTCTTACTTAAATCGATCAGGATGGGCACACAAGTATCGGTTAAATTATTCTCTTTTGCGGGGGGGGGGGGGCGCAGGGTGTTGTTTGTGACAATTCATGATACTATGAATACTATGGGCTTTGCTTCCTGGGATGGGGTGATCTGCCAGCCCCTGCTCCCCCTCTCCCCCAGCATTCCCTGCCTCTGAATTAGGCCAGTGGGAGGGAAGAAGGAAGATCTCCCTAAATTCCAAAGTATCTCCAAGCATGATTCTCAGAGCCACATGGTCCCCACCACAAACAGGCCCTACACTCTTTTTTTTTCTTGGGTCCTTCCCAACAGTGAAGGAGCTCTGGTGGCATAGAGGGTAAGGAATTTGATTGTGAACCAGAACATAGATGGTTCAAACCCACCAGCTATTCTGTGGAAGGAAGAAGCAGCAATCTACTTCTGTAAAGATTTACAGCCTTAGAAACGCAATGGGGTTCTCCATGAGTTGGAACCCAGTGGGTTTTGGTTTATTTTGTCCCAACAGCAAGAGAAGTCATTGCAGGGAAAGGCAAGCACCACTCAGAAAGGCCCAGCGTAGAGCAAACCCTGAACTTAAGGCCCCAACACTTCTCCCCTGCTTGCTGCCTGAAGACCTTTAGCCACAGTCCCCACCATCAACACTTCTTCCTAAGGAGCAATGAGCAACTTACCAGATCTGAAAGGAGGAGGTTGCTTGAGAAAGTTGAGGAGGATGTTTGAGAAAGTGGGAGAGATGGGGGTGATGGGGAGGAGGCTGTTGTGCCTGAGGCCCCTTGGAGAGCCTGGGAGTGGGGGAGGAAAAACTGATGTCACTCTGTCCTGTCCAGGATGGGATGGAAAGTCCTCACCCCTCATTCACACTTCAAGTCCTCCTTCCAGTAAGTGGGCAAGTGTCAGGGCCCCTGGGTGAGTAACAGCACCCCCCCATGACCGACTTTCAGTACCCGCCTGTAGGAGGCAGAGGGAGACCCAAGGTCCTATCTAGGTCACCTCCATGGGACATCTCACCCCTGTTCCATACCACATGGTTTTCCCCTCCCTGGCAACCCTGGGCCGGAAGGAAAACCTTACTTCTGAACCCAGTGAGGCCTTCCACTCTCTATGTCTCTGTGTTCGTCTTTGATTCTATCTCCAGGAGAGAGCTCCTCCTGGGGTAGGGAGTTCTCTTTCCAGTTCACCCATTTCACACTTTTATCATTGACCTATAAATTGCTGAGACAAAACTGGCACATGGATCCTTCCACCCACATGTTATTGTTTGTTTTTCATTTTCTTCCTTTGGTTCAGTTTTGCTCACTGAGAGAATGGAAGGGGATAGATGGCCAGGGGCTGGATATTGGAACTTCCATCTAGAAGGAAGAAAGCCAGATTCTTTTCAGTGCCAAGCACGCCTTGGTGCTCTGAGTTAGTTATTTCTTCTATTCCCTTGTGACCCCATAAGCAGTGAGCGTTCCCATCTCTGATTGATAGGTGAGGTTCAATGACTGGTTCAGGTTGCATAGTTAGGACAAGGCTGGGTGAGTGGCCTGGAGTGAGGGATTTGAAGCCCAGACACCTGAATCTCTGAAAGATCCTTGGTGATGATTCAGGTGCCTGAGAATGTGGCTCCTTCCCTGCTCTCTCAGGCCAAAGCAACAGCCGGAAATCTTACCTGAGATACAGGACTTTCCCAGCAGGGAATGGAATTCCCGGAGTTGGAAATTCCCATCCCCTAAGGGCAAGGTAAGGAGCTCTGGTGGTGTAGTTAGTGGTTAAGGCAATTAGCTGCTAACCAGAAGGTTGATGGTTTGAATGCACCAGCCACTCCATGGAAGAAAGATGAGGCAGTCTGCTTCCGTAAAAATTTACAGCTTTGGAAACCCAGTGGGGGTCACTATGAGTCAGAATAGACTCAATGGCAGTGAGTTTTTTTTTCTTTCTTTTTTTTGAGAGGGCCAGGTAACTGGGTTCAGGCTTCTGTTTCCTGGGAAAGGGAGTTATTCAGCTTGGTTTTGTTCCTGAAGGGTATCTTGGACCCCAGATGGTCTCAGAGTCTAAGGGCTGGGGACTGGTTCTGTGGAAATTTAAGTCCTGTGGAGGGCAGACTTCAGGGAGGGAATCCCTATCCCCAACAAGAGGCAGCTGCAGTATTCCAAGAAGGAGACTATGTTTCTTTTTCAAGCAAACTTTATTTCTCGCCACTGACCAGTAGGGCGGTTACAGACACAACTCCCCTGGGGAGCAGAGGTTCAGCGATGTAGCGACAGTTGGTCACCAAATCAGCATTATTTAGACAACTTGATCAGATTAATATTTTTAAAAAACATAAGCAAAGGGAGGCACAGAGGCCAGGAGACCAGGTGGGAGCAGTCTATGGTTCAGCTTCATTTTCACAGAAAACATGTCTGAGCCCAGGCAGCCCCTACATCAGGACCCCTGGGATCCTCTGACCGCCCAAATAAATACATTCACCAGTAAATAAATAAATAAATAAATAAATAAATAATAACCACAAGTGCAAACATAAATAGAGGGGGCCCAACTTGTGCGGAGAGGCGGGGGTTCCATATCTCAAAGAAGAGTTAGGAAACTTCTTGACAGAGAGAGGTATGAAATCATGTCAAGTTTTAGGTGAGGTCTTCTCAGGGTGTTCTGAAATGTTCTGGATAGAACCAAAGGCTCTCTGGCCTCCACATTCCAGATGTCTCAGTTTACATTCAGGGATCTAATGGGTCCTGGATGCCCCAGTTCAGATTCCAGGTGGTGGCCAGCACCCCACGTCCAGGACACATATCCCTCCATCTCGGGTTTCTAAGTGTTGTTATTGTTTAAAGTTATAAACTTGGGGCCCAGCCCTTAGCCCCTAATTTCCTTTCTAAGCCAGGAGGGGATGAGAGGATCTGAGGGAATGGATAATAAGGGGACTGAGGTGGGTGAGGGGGTCAGGGAAGGATGGGTGTCTATTCCCCCTCACAGAGCAATGATCCCAAAGTAGATCTGCCCAGACTCAGTGAGGTCAAGATAGTCAGGTAGATTGATCTCAGCGCTGAGTTTATCGCCTTTCTCCAGCCGGAAGACCCCTCCCAGGTAGATGGGCTCATACCAGGGCTTGGCCTCAGCCCCCTCTGGGGTCTCCCTATGGCAAGGGCTCTTGATGGCAGAAAGGAGATTGACCTTGGTTGGGTAGGAGACAGCAATAAGGCTGACAGTGTGGGCGAGGAGCACTTGGGTGGCAGGGCAGCCTTGTCCCTTGAAGAGGACCTGGGAGTAGATGAGGTACAGCCCGTTGGAAGGCACCACCAGCTGGTTGTCTTTCAGCTCCACACCATTGTCCAGTAGGGCATTGGCACGCTTGTTCAGCCACTGGAGCTGCCCCTTGGCTTGCAGGTTTGCTGGAGGGAGAGAGAAAGGTGAGTCAGTGTGACACCATAAGTCCGTTCAACTCTCCACATCCTGGCCGTCAAGTTCTGCACACCCACCCACCACATCCGATTCCTGTCCCCTCTGTCTTCCCACATCCCATCTGACCACAAGGTTCTCAATATCCCCCTTAAGGTCTATACTCTTCTACTGTCTCCTTTACCTTACACTGTCTCCAAATGTCTGTCTACCCTCAGCCCCATTCAGCCCTCAATCCTCTCCCTCCACATCCCATCTGGTCTTTCATCTTAGCCCCCAAGACACAACCTCAGAATTCTTACCTACAACATGGGCTACAGGCTTGTCACTCGGTGTTCGAGAAGATGATCCTGAAGAGGGAAGAAAAAGGTGAGATCCTTAAACTTCCCCCCAAAATATCCTCTTACTTTGACTTCCATTCCTCTTCCTCAAAAACCAAAACTCTGAAATCCCCTCGCCCCCTACCTATTGCTTCCATCCCAGGACTATCTCCCATCCCCATCCAAACTCAGAATTAGGAGAGAGGTTTTGGAGACACTTACTGAGTGTTTGGGCCAAGGGGTTGATTGGATGAAAGTCATCTGGATACTGCTGAAGAGAAAAAGGAGGAGTTAGCATGAGAGAGAAGTTTCCACAAAGGGAGAAATAGTTGGGCTGCTTATCTAGCTTGCTTTCTCTGCCCAGATGCCTCTTATTTTCTTTCTCCATTCATTCATTCATTCATTCATCCATCCATCCATCCCAAAACTCAGTCATCAAGTGTCTTCCCTTCTGTGTACCAGACACCTTATCTTCATCTTTCCTTATCTCATTCCTTCATCTCTCTCTTATCTCTCTTCTGTATCTCCCATATCTCATTCAATTTTATTCATATCACTTGTTCTTCTCCATATCTCTACCCACACCCCCATATCACTCTATCTCTTTATATATATCTGATTGCTCATTCCTTCATTTGTTTATTCATTCATTCAACAAATATTTAGTGAGCACCTTCCATGTGCCAAGCACCCTCTTTGTGTTTCTCTCTCTTCCCCATCTCTCTCCACACCTTTCTAACTTCCCATCTTTCTCTATGTTTTTCTTCCCCATCCCTCCCCATCTACATACCTCTATCCCCTACCTCATCTCTTCTGCCCCAATTTCTGAATGAAAGCTGGTGAGGCACTCACCTCTTCCCCTTGGGGGCCTATCACCCCAAAATGCAGCAGACAGAAGAGTGTGGTGGCTCCTGCCACCAGCAGGAAGGAGAAGAGGCTGAGGAGCAGGCACCTCCTGGAGCCCTGAGGGGCCCCTGCCTTCTTGGAGAGGGCCTCCTCAGCCAGCTCCACATCCCGGATCATGCTTTCAGTGCTCATGTTGTCCTTTTGCAGAGGGGCTCAAGTACAGCTGGGAAATGGTGGGCTGTGTGTGCGTGTGTGAGAGAGCGAGAGAGAGAGAGAGAGAGAGAGAGAGAGAGAGAATCCCGCCTGGCTGCTTGTCTGGGGGTGTGGTGTCTGGGCGGTTCTTTCCAGGGGGGTCTGAAGTTGCTTCTCTCCCTCTTGGCTGGTCCCCTGGTCTCCTCGCTGAGGGAGCTCTGCTGGCTGGTATGCAAACAGCTGCCTTTATATAGTCTTGAGGGCGGGGAGAAGCTCTCATTCAACCATCGGAAAACTTCCTTGGTGGAGAAACCCATGAGCTCATCTGGAGGAAGCGGTAGTGGCCCCTACACATTCTGTCTCAGTTTCTTCTCCACTGCGGGGGTGAGGTTTGGAAAGTTGGGGACACCCAGGCATCAAGGATACTTCCCACCCTCCCCATTTGGATTCAGAAGGGGGCTTCCTGGGCCAGTTACAGATGTATGCATAGGACCCTAGAGGCTGAACTTCAGTTGTCCCCCACCACCAAAATCTCACATTTCTTCTGAGGACTAGTTTTGTGAGCTGTTTCCCTTTGACTTCCACACAGGACCCACAAAAGTGTTGAATTCCAAAGGGCTGGGTGGGAGGGGCTTCAGAAAGCTGGGTCATGGAGGGAGAGGAAGCTGGGGGCAAAGTCTGTTTCTGGGTCTTGGGTCCTGACATGTGTGCTTGGGTCCCTTGGGGGAAAGGAGTTAGGGAAAGGAGGCTAGCCTAAGACTATGGGTGTGGATGGGGCCTCTGGAAGGGCTGGTGGGTCTGGCAGGGACAAGTCTGGGACAGCCCCAGAGGGAGTGAAATCAGCCCTGGGAATTCACAAACCCCACAGGGTAGACCTTCTCCTTTCGTTCTGACCTTGGGACTCAAACCATTGGTTTCATTCTTGGCTTCTTAGGGAATTTGAGGTCTCTGATTTTTGCATGTAGCCCCCACTCCTGGGGCTCCTGTGTGTGGCCATGTCTCCTAGGGAACTCTTATTCCACAGATATATCTGGAGACCCTCTCACCCCTCAGAGCCTCTGTGTGTGCCCATGTCTCTCCAAATAACCCATACCCCCCAAATTCCTGGAGATATCCCTGCCTCTCAGAGCCCCTGTGTGTAGCCATTGTCTCCTAGAGAACTCCTGTTCCCTCCAAATTCCTAGAGATCAAACCACCCCTCAGAGCCTCTCTGTGTACCCATATCTCTCCAGAAATTCCCCCCCAAATTCCTACTCTCCTACCCCTCTGAGCCCCCATGTGAGCCCATGACTCCTAGAGAACCCATTCACCCCAAATTCCTGAAGACATCCCTGCCCCTCAAAGCCCCTGTGTGTGCCCATGTTTCCTCAGATCTCCTGTGTTTTCTATACCCTCCTAGTTCTGGTAGGAGCTCTAGTGGCATAGTGCTTAAGGCATCTGACTGCTAACCAGAAGGCTGGCGGTTCAAACCCACCAGCCACTCTTCAGAAGGAAGACTAGGCAATCTACTTCCATAGAGATACCGCCTTGGAAACCCAAGGAAGGGTGACTATGAGTTGGAACCAACTCAACGGCAGTGAATTTGGTTTCTAGTCCTGTTGACTGTCCCACTCCTCAAGGCCTTGTGTACCCCTATCCCAGAGTCCTGGACTTTCCTCCCTATTTGGTGTGATCACTTCTTCTCAGAGGCTTCCTGTACCCTTATTCCTTAGTGCTTCTACCTGTGGCCATATCTCTCAGGGGTCCCACAACTCCACCTCTTTAGAACCTGGACCCTACTTCCTCTGTCATATCAGCTTATCCCTTGGTACCCCTGCAGCAATGTGACTGTCCCTAGCCCCTTTGAATGTACCATCTAGCCCAAAGCCCCTTGGGCCCTTCTATCTCCTTGTTCTCCCACACTCCTGTCCCCTTTGAGGACTTTGTCCCACACTTCATTTTGTACAGAGACCTGGAAAATTATCCCCTCCCAGAGAGACAGACAGCATTTCAGAGGAAAGAGGTTTATTGGTCTTCATCGAGGGTGCAGATCTGGCCTCGGGGGTGTCTAGTTAAGCTGTGGCTAGCTCTTAAGAATCTTCCACTTTCCTTCTAGAACCCCTTAGCTGCTCAGACCTACTTTTATTTTCTCTCTCTAGCCCAGCCTGTGCTGATGCCCTTTCATTCTTCATCTCTTGGATCTGTTATCTCTCACTTCTAATGTCCCTCTGTTATTCTCCTCTCTCCATCTTTCATAAATAAATAATTTAATTTTCTCATCATAAATAATTACCCCTCCCTACTCCAATCATCCACTCAAGTTCGTCCAAATGTCTGCTCTTCCTCCATGTCCGGATCTAAGCCCCACCTAGACCAGAATAGATAGCTCTGGGCTGGGAATTTCTAGGCAGGCTTGAAATCTTTGGCAGAGTTTCCAGGGTGGCTCAGGAAGGTGTGGTTCCCCGAGTGCTCAGAATTCCTTCTTGGACGCTCCAGGTGACTTGAGTGGGGGAAGACTTGAGACTGTTGAAATGGTCGAAGGAGAGGTAGTGGTAATCCTTGAAAATGTCAGAATGGAGGCAAAATGGGGAGTAGGCCTTGCAACTAATTTTTCTCTTCTTTCTGGGTTTTTCCAAATTCTACAGAGCAAAGGCTCCAAAGAAGACACTACTGGGGCTGAGGAGTAAGTGGGAGATGCCAGCTGTGTGAGTGGATAGCTGGTCTCCCTGGGTGAGCAGGAACACAGCCCCCTGGTAAACTGAGCGTACCCAAGGTCCCTGTGGTCCTGGGCACACAGACTTCTGGGCACTGAGGAGAGGCACATGGGATGGGTACTGGGAGGAGAAGAGCTGAACCTCATGGGCCAGGTAGAGAGGAGTGGGGGTGGCCTTAGGGGAGCAGCCTTCTCCAGAGAAGACCACCTGGGAGTAGACAAAGTAGAGGCCACTGGTGGGGACCAGGAGGGAATTGTTGCTCAAAGAGAAGCCATGGCGGAGAAAGGCATGATCTGTGTTTGCTCTCCAACGCAGCAAGGTCTGGGTGCTGGGGTCTCCTAGGAAGAAGCATGGGGGCAAGGGTTAAGGGTCTGGGGGCTCAGAGGTTTCAGTCCCTGGGGAAGCAGGCACTAGAGGACTCAGGCCCTGAGAGATGGTTAGGGGATAGGTGAAAGCTGGATACCTCTGTCCTTGGGGGGTAGGGGAAGTTGGAGCAGAAATAAGGTGGATGCTTGAAGTCTGGGGGCTAGAGCAAGGGTGGGAGCTAGATGTCTAGGTAGTCAGGTGGATGCTTACCAACAAGGTGAGCAGCAGGTTTGAGAGTGCCTGAGTTGACATGCTTCTGGGGATGCTGCTGGGCAGTCCGAGCAGCTGAAGGTGAGAGGCCAACCCTAGGCAGCCCCTAAGAGAGAAGAGCGTTAGAGGGGGCTCCAGGACCCAAGCCTCAGCTGAGCCACCCCAGGAATTCCCATTCTCCTGCTATCTCACCTGGGTCCCAGATGGCAAAGCTATCAGCAGCCCCAGAAAGAGGAAGAGAAGGGGGGTGCTATGCACCCTCAGGAGGTAGACGTGCCCTGGTCGTGTCATGTGGAGAACCTGCAGGGAGAGAAACAGTGAGTGGGGCGGGGCACGCTGCGGAAGAGGGCCTCCTGTCCATGGAGACAGCCACCCCGAGAGTCAGGGCGATAGAGAAGGGGACAAGATGCAGTCAGGGAAACCCCAAAGTAAGCTGGGGGAGACAGATAGAAAGAGAAACAGAGATGGGAAGGGAACAGAGAGCAGAAAGGAACAGAGCAGCAGAAGCAGAGATGTATGACAGAGACAGAGACAGAGACAGACAGAGACAGGGGAACAAACCAAAACCAAACCCACCAAGGCCAACGCCACAGGCAGGCTGGGGCCCAGACTGAGATGCAGGAGGGACCAGGAGCAGACCAAGAGTCAGGACGAGCGGGCAGGAGTCCACTGCCAGGCAGCAAAGGAGATGAAGTGGGAGAGTCTCACCTGCTGTTCGGGGCCCCTGGGCCCGGACGCCTGGGTCCCTTTATAGAGGAAGCGGCAGTGGCAGCGTGGCAGGCGGCGGGCGGTTCTAGGCCGGGGCTGGGGCCCGGGGAAGCCCCCAGGGCTTAGAAGATACTGCTGTTTCAGTCGAAGGCAGGAAAGGCTGAGGCCTAGGAGAGAACCGCAGGCTGGGGGCTCAGGCAACTGAGTTCTGGGAAAGGGAGTGGGGTCAGGGGAACCGTGGGCTGGGAGGGCCAAGGTGAGGGGCCCGGCTTAGGAGTTCCAGGGAAGGGACAGTAAATTCAGAGAGGAAGCGGGGAGCAAATGGGGTGTGGGCTGGAGGCCCGGTTCCCTGAAAAGTGATCATGTAGAACATTTCTACACCTTTGGCAGATTAAAGGCAGTCCTGTCTGCCTCCATTTCTTTCGTGTTCACCCTGCCCTTGTCCCAACCTGCTCAAGTCACATTTGTCCAAGTATGGGTACTTTCCAGGTGGCAGCTTTTATATCAAAAAGTTCCATTATCTACCCCTTGCCTGAGACATCCTGGTTTATTCCTATTGTCCTAGTGAAAATATGAAGAGTCCCTTTTTGCTCTCAAAAGTACCCTGTTTTGAAAGATAGACTTTATCATTCCCGTACAGAGATGATGCCATGTACTCATGTGAGCTGGGGTCTCATCCCACTCCTGATGGATGTTCTCAACCTCACCCTGACCTCAGGTGGCACTCAATGATAAGACCAGGGAATCCAAAACAAATGCACACTCCAGACTCGAGGAATGTGGCAAATAACTTCTGAGATTCCCTGCAAGTGGAGGCTTTGGAATTCTAAGCAGGAAGGTGGTGACCTAGGATGGGGTGGGGACAGCTAAGGGATTTGTCTTGAAATTGCGTTTGCAGAGCCAATACATGGCTCCCCCCCCCCATTTTAAGACTTTTTCTTTTTCATTGATGTAGAACTTACATACAGTGAAATACATACCTTTTAAGTATATAACTTGATTATTTTTTACATATGCATTAGCCATATAGCCATCAGCCAGTTCAACGTATTTTCAGGATCCCAGCTGATACCCTCCAAAGGTAACGAATGACTCTCTAACCTCTATCACTGTATATTAGTATCATCATAGTTTTGAACTTCTTATAAATGAAATCATATAGAATGTACTCATGTGTCTGGTTTTGTTCACTCAACAGTGTTTCTGAAATTCACCCATGTTTTTGAGTGTTTTTTAGCTGCAGTGTTTTTCAAATATTCTATTGCATGAATATACTCTTAATTTATTCATCCATTTTTCCACTGCTGGGCATTTGGTTCGTTTCTAGTTGTTGGCTAACGTGAATAAAGTTAATAGGAACATGATCCATTTTTCACTTAGCCTGTAAGTTATGTTGTTATGTGCTGTCGAGTCGGACCCCAACTCATAGCGACTCCTCCTTGGGTTTCCAAGGCAGTATCACTACAGAAGTAGATTGCCCAACCTTCCTTCCAAAATAGACAGCCCAGTCTATCTTGCGAGGAGCGGCTGGTGGGTTTGAACCATCAGCCTTGCACTTGGCAGGCGACTGCCTTAGGCCCGAGGCCATCCCCTGGGCTGGTCTGTAAGTTATAGGTTTTTTTAAAAAACAAAGTTTCTGAAAATGATTTTATTCACTATTCATAAGATTGAGAAAATGTCATTTGGCCACCTCAGATATTTTATTCCTATTACTGATATTGTTATGATTTTGTTTGGACAGTTTTGGAGGGGCTGGTGTGGGAGGGGATGGAGGAGATGGAGGCTAAAGCCCTCCTACTGTTGTACAGGGCATTGCTAATCTCCTCAGGCACCATGTTCCTGAGGGTTCTTGGTGCCCTGTGGGACATAAATAACGTACAGGGTGTTCCTGAGCTATTTCTCCTCTGTTCTCCTTCCCCTCCTCAAGGCCCTAACCCTTTGTCCTTCATGCCTTACTACTCTTAGCTATTCTTACTCTTCTTTCTCATCCCACCTATTTAGCTTCCTCTCTATTCCACAAACATTTATTGAGCACTTTGCACAAGGCAGATACCCTAGGTGGTGCAACTGGTTAATGCACTTGGCTGCTAACCAAAGTGTTGGAGATTCACGTCCACCTGGAGGTCCCTCAAGAGGAAAGTCTGGCAGTCTACTTTTTAAAAAATCAGCCATTTCAAATTCTATCAAATACAGTTCTACTCTGACACTTTTGAGGTCATCATGAGTGGCATCTACTCGACAGCAACTCTACAAGGCACTGGGGATACACAAGCAAAAGACAGTCCTATGACCGCCAGGAGCTCAAGGACCAGTGTGAGAGGCAGCCACATTATTTGATAACTACAACAAAGTGTGTTAAGTTCCATGGCAGTGAGATTATGGCAGTTCCAAGAAAAGCCATCACACCTGGCCTCGGGGAGGTAATAGTTATTGAGTTGTGATTTGGGCTGAAGTTAATTATTAAGGCAAAGAAAATGGAAAGAGCACTCCAGATGAGCAGAAAAATGTGCAAAGACTAAAGGTAAGAGAGAGCATGAAGTGTGCTGAGATCTATAAATGGGTACCAATGGAAGGAGCAGAGATGAGGCTTGATAAATAAGCTGAGAACATATTATGAAGGGTTTAAAACCAAGCAAAGAAGTTTGAATTTCATTCTAAATATGATGGCAAACCACCAAAGGTTTTGAGCAAGGAAAGAGCTAACTCAGGCTTGTATATTAGAAAAATGAGCCTGATAGTTACATGAGGAATGGATTGGGGTAGGGGACTTGGAGGGCTGGAGGTGAAGCCAGAAGCATGGGGCCAGTTAGGAGGGTTTTGCAATAACCTAGGGAGGAGATGATGGGGGCCTGCATTTATATCAAGACAGCAGCAGGAGAACAGAAAAGAGGAGAGAGTTTCTAGGCAAAACATACAGGTCTTGTGGGCTGACCAGATGAGATGGAGGAAGAAGAAGGAGGTCAAGGATGCATCTTTTAAATTTCTTGGTCTGTATCTTGGCTTCTTCTTATTCTTTTAACCTTATTGTATCTCATGTCACTGTCAGCTTTCCTCTTGATCCATACTCCTTACTTTATCTCTGTGGAAAAAAATCACTGTTTCTCTTTCTCTGGAGGTCCTGCTTCCTTCCTATTGTCTCTTTCTGCCTCTCTAATGGTATGAGCAAATGGTCTTAGAGATCTCAGCCAATATATTAAAAGATGTTGTAATCAACCATGAGAAACAGAAGGAAAGGAAGAAACTTAGGTCATCTAATACTGAAGCACTGGGAGACAAAAAGAGGAAAGGAAGGAGGAATGATGAGGAGGCATGAGGGACAGAGAGGAAGGAAGGACAAGAACTAAGCTGAAGTTCTGTGTCACAGGCATTTGCAAAGTGCTGAAGGATGCTGAGATGGGCCAATCTCAGTTTCAATCTCAGTTTCAGAGGTTGTGTGAAATTCTATTTCTTTTTTGAAGAGGCCGGCAGTTGGTTTGGGGCTTTCCCTGGGTGGGAGGGGTGATGACTGGAGTCTTATGCTCCAAACTCAGGGAAATACAGGCTCTGTAATGGTCTCTGCGGAGAAACTAGTGAAATCTCTGAGGCTTCCAGATAAGGCTGAAATAACATTTGACTCAAATCTGAATCTAGTCCAGAAACCTAAAATGGGATTCAATAATAACTTTGACCCTAGACCAAATTTAACCTCAACCCAAATCACAAGTCAAACTCAACCTCAACCGTAACCATAACCTCAAATCTATATGCATCCCAATAACTAAACCCCAAAATAAAACTTATCCTCTAAACCAACCCAACCCTGTCTCTATGGCTGATTTTGAAACCAACTCATCTCTATTCCTAACTCTAAACTTAAACATGACTCTGAATGTAATCCCAATTTGAGCCACAAATCTAAAATTAGCTTTATTCTTCTTGTCTTAGTTACCTCATGCTGCTATAACAGAAATACCACATGTGAGTGGCTTCATCCACTGCCAGAGAGTCAATTCTGACTCATAGGCACCCTGTAGGATGAAGTAGAACTGACCCCTAGGGTATCCAAGGCTGTAAATCTTTATGGAAGCCAACTGCCACATCTTTCTCATGTGGAGCAACTGATGGCTAGCCAAGCGCTGTAACTACAGTGCCACCAATAACTTTAGTGAACAGAAAACTTATTTTCTTGCAGTTTAGGAGTGCAGAAATTCCAATTCAGGGCATTAGCTCTAGGAGAAGGCTCTGTCTGCTCTGGGGGAAAATCTTTTCTTTTGGTGTTTCTTGGTGAGCTCCATGTGCCATCTTTCTTTCCCCATTCATGCACCCTTGCTCCTCTACCTAATCTGATCTTTTTATATCTCAAAAGAGATTGGTTTAAGAACATCCTACACTGACAAGGTAGTCACTTCTTGGCCACAGCCAGCTACCCAGAGGGAGCAAAGTAGTTGGACCTGTGGGCTCAGGACCATGATCACAGCTCAATTGGCATAATATACTACACAAAAACATTCTTCCACATCCTACTTTGGTGAATAGCAACTGAGATCTTAAAAGCTTGCAAGTGGCTATCTAGATGCAATGATGGATCTCTCCTCATCCAGAGT